GAAGAAGAAGAAGAAGAAGAAGAAGAAGAAGAAGAAGAAGAAGAAGAGGAGGAGGAAGAAGAGGAAGAAGAGGAAGAAGTCGTCTTTAAATACACTCACACAGCACCATATTTGAGTTACCTCTGGGGCACAAAGTTCTCTCCTTTGTTAAATTGCAAATGTTTCTAGGAAAGGGTAATATATTAAGCCTCATCAGTCACCTATGTGTGGGTATAAACAAACTCTTAATACTTTCTGAGAGTGAATTTGGATGCAGGAAGGAATAAGCAAACAAGCTTAGCCTTGGTTAGAATAGGAAAATTCAAGAATCTGCACAAAAGGGATTCCAGGTGTGATCCCAGGGCCCTGTGCTCACCGCCAGATCCTCCCGGGTGACAAAGCCCCTCTCCTTGGCTCCGCAGTCCTGGAAAAAGCCCTGAAGCTCCGCATCAGCGTCAGAGGGCCAGGACTCAGCCTCCGGGGCCGCGGGGGCATCCTGACCGTCAGCGGGCTCTCGTGCCTGCCTCCGGCGGCTGGATGCCAGCTTCCGACCTTTTCTGGACACTCCCTTTCCTTTCTCCATGGTGCCTCAGACCTGGGGACAGAGGAGAAGAGGGTGATGGGCCACTGAATACTGAGAATGCACTGAATCCATAACCGTACCCAGCTGCGGAGCACAGCCAGCGTCCCATCCTTCGTGGCTGACCCTGCATGGCCTGGTCCACATCCGTCTGCTCAGGCCCCTGCCCTGTGGAAGATCCCCTTCACTTCCCCACGGCTTCTGAGCTCCTCGCTTAACTCCTGCGGGTCTCTGTGCAGGTCTCAAAGCCCTCACTGATGGCTGCAGAAAGGAACACGGGACAGGGAGGTCCTGCCTTGAGTCTTTGGGATTTTGCTGTCTGGAGGCAGGAATTACTCCTGGACATGTCCTGCTGTCCTCCCTCCAGCTCAGGTCCTCACTGCCCCCAGCGTCAGAGTAACTGATCTGAACGTCTGCTGTTAGCGCCTCAGCCTCATCCCTCCATCTTTCCCTGCTCTCAACACACTGTGTGTGAACATGTGTGTGTATGTATTACGTGTGGTATGTTATGTGTGCATGTGTATGTATTTGTGTGTATGTATATACACACGTGTGTATGTATGTGTGTACATTTGTATGCATGTATACCTGTACGTGTTTATGTGTATATATGTGTATATATTTGTGTACACATGTGTGTGTATATATGTATGTGTGGATATGTGTGTTTGTGTATGTATGTATATGTGTATATGTATATATGTGTATATCTATATAGGTGTATATATATATATGTGTGCATATATGGGGTGTGTGTGTGTGTATGTGTGTGTGCATGTGTTTTCTCAGAAGCCAGAGGAGGAGGACACAACATGCCCTATTCTCACTGTCTGCCTTACTCCATTGAGACAGGGTCTTTCAAAGAACCTAGAACTGGCTAGGGATCTTCTGTTACTGGGGGGGGGGGGGGGAGGGGGGGGGCTCACAGTGTCAAGGTCATGGGCACATGTGGCCATGTCTGGCTTGAACATACATGCTGCAGATTTGAACTCTGGTCCCAGGCACTGATCCTCAGCTCTTATTTCTCTCTTTGACACAAATGGAAGTGTCGCTGCCTCACCGTTCTTAGGGCCTACATGACACAGACCCTTCTTCCTCCATTCCTCATGTCCTCATGGCTTGTGGGAACCACCAGAGACCCACTGATGGTTCACTGAACATATTTCCTCCCATCCTGGTTCCCTCATCCCAAAGCCCCACACTTCCCCATCTAGCTACCGCCTTCCATCCCCAGCCCTCTCCAGTCCCTCTCTGCAGGCACCCTCATGCCTCCAGCTGGAGCCGAAGGCTGGGCCCCTTGCTTTAGTGAGGTGGGGGATGCTGATACCCAGGTGTCAGGACATGAGCGGAGTCTAGAGGAGGCTGGTGTTATTTGAGGAAGAGTATAGGATTTGCAGAAGGATTGGAAGGTTAGAAAAGAAAGGGGAAGCAGATTCCATCTGAGCTCAAAATGGAAGGCTACCTCTGTTGGAGACAAAAGTCACAGACAGGCTGAGAGGAGCTCAGAGGGTCTGCTGCAGGGATGGTGGCCAATCCAGGGGACAGGAGACAGTGGCAGATCCTCCCCCGAGATGAGCACTCCCCCCACCCCATCCCCTACAGCAGCACAGGGTTCAGGGGAGGCAACCCCACACTCTGTAGAGTTCAAAACTTTAATGAAAATGTGCTAGTTCTCTCTCTCTCTCTCTCTCTCTCTCTCTCTCTCTCTCTCTCTCTTTCGGGTGTGTGTGTGTGCGTGTGTGTGTATATGTGTGTGTCCAGTCTTACACTGCAGGCAGCAGCAGATCTAGCATCTCTGGGCCTCTTCCTACCAAAGGACAGTCACAGCACACACTAATACTGGTTTTAAAAAAAAAAAGAAGAAAGAAAGAAAGAAAGAGAGAGAGAGAGAGAGAGAGAGAGAGAGAGAGAAAAGGAAGCAAGGTACTCAAGCAAACGTAAAAGGTAAGACCCATTTCAGAGACTAAAGAGAAACGGACTTACAGACAATATACAATCTCCACCTGGGTTCCCCAGCCAAAAAGGGAGGGGAAGGGAGGGATTGGAGTCAGGTGCAGACGCACACGCCTGCTACTTCATCCCTCAAGAGGCCAGAGCTGAGGAGAGCGCCTGCCGGCTGTACAGACCTGAGGTCCTGACTTCAAACACCTGGCACCTCATAACAAAGTCAGAAAGGACTGCGTGCCTCTGACCCAAGGATGGGGGGTAAGCAGGTGAACACCTGAATGTCACCAGTATTTTCCACATGTGTCACCCCTGTCCTGTTCCAAACAGTGATGAGGCATGTGCCCCCCCTTGGCCACATCCACTCGCACCCAGAAAGCCACTGTTCATCTCCCTACGACATCTCCCTAAGGGAAAAGCCCCTCCCTCCGTGGCCATAGGACCCTCCATGGCTGTTAGGGGGACACAAGTTTTCATACAGTTAAGGAGAGACCTGCTGAGGGTGGCTACCAGCAGAGATCTGTAGATGAGGGCAAGGGGGTCTCCACAGGGAGAGTGACGTCAGAATGCTCTGAAGTAGGGTGCAGCTCTTCTTTCCCTCCTGGACCTCTCCAGCAAGGCAGCCTCAGGCAACTCGCTCACCCTCTCAGTGCCTGGGTTTCCTCACTAGAAGCAGACAAGTATCTGGGTGTGGTGATGTCTGCCAATAATCCCTGAGGAGATTGAGACGGGGAGACCACAGTGCATTCAAGATCAGCCTGTTCTACGGAGACCTCGCTTCTCTCTCATACACACACTCATACTCACACACAAATGATCTCACACACACACTCGTACATACTTACATACCGTATGCTCACTCACACACACATGCTCACACTCACATACACTCACACATGTTTACCGCACACACACATACACACTCACACTCATATACAGTCACACAAGCTCACACACACTCACGCACACACTCATACATGCTCACACATGCTTTCACCCACACTCACACCCACACTCTCACTCACACACTCATACACGCTCACACATGCTCTCACCCACACTCATACCCACACTCACTGACATGCTCATACACGCTCACACACTCACATACACTCATACACAGTCACAGACTTGCACACTCACAGACACACTCACACATGCTCCTACATGCTCTCTCACACACACACTCACACGATCACACACAGAGACACACACTCCCACACTTACACACACACACGTGCTCCACAGACACACACACACTCACACACAAGATAACGAAAAACAAAAAAATCAGAATAACATCTACCACCAGAACCATGTGAGGCTCAAGCAAGATAATTAAAGTTGAAACCACGCCACCCCCAGCAAGGTGTACCCCCTTTCCGGTTCCACTTTCTCTTAATTTCCATTCTCAGAAACATCTTCGACTCGTTTATCCTGCAAATTCGAATCTCCTTTTACTGAACTATAAACCAGTGCTTGGCATACAGCTGGCGATTAGCAAATATTTGTTGGCCTTGACCAAGCACGGTATCTGGCCCCCAGGGACTGCTGGGTAAAAGCCGAATTGACAACAGTGGTGATGTCACTGATGGGCATGAGGTTCAAAATAGTTCAAGTAACATCTGGGATCCACACAGAGCCAACCAGAAACTGAAGGAGTCTCCTTGAAACTGGCTGCCTGTCTCATCCAGGACGGACCTCCACAGGGCTGTTTCTGGAGCCATGACACTGCAGGGAAGGGGACAGACATACCAGAGAAGCAGCCCTGGGTGGGACAAAGACTTCATAGCTGTCCAGATGTAGGCCAGTTGTGCTTCCGGGGCAGCAAGGGCTGGCCCTGAGCTCAGAAAGTCAGGGAGTCACCATATACTTCCTGTGAACCGATTGGGGCACAGAACTGGCCAGATGAGGCTCCCTGCAGTAAGGAACCTCCAGAGCCCATCCTGGGGAGAGCTCTCATGAGAAGTCTAAGCATTGCCAGCTGGGCCTTCACAGTCAGAGGAGTTCAAATCCCAAAACAAGCTCTTAGAATGTGGGGCACCCTTCTCTGCAGTGTCCTGCAGTCCCTTGGAATTTCATAGGAAAGCGGCACCTAGGGTCACCGCTCATAGGAAAGTGGCACCTAGGGTCACCGCTTGTAGGAAAGTGGCACCTAAGGTCACCACTCTCAGCTCCACCAGGCAAGGACCTCAGTGTCTAGACCATCAGGACGTCCATGGAAGGGATTCATGCATACCCTGAAGTGAGCGAGACCTCCAAGTCTGACTGGTCACCCCAGGTCAGGACGTTGCTGTCAGTCACTGACCTTCATTCCCTAACAACATGTCCTAAGTTAGTCATGGGCAGGAATGGCCACTGAGAGACAGTGGGGACCTTCTTTGGTGAGTCTATGAAAGTCTCTCTCTCTCTCTCTCTCTCTCTCTCTCTCTCTCTCTCTCTCTCCCACAGACACTCAGTTCCCAGACAATACCCTTACCCTTCACTTGGTGACTCCAAAAGACCCCTCTGTAGTCACCCCAAGCCAGCACCAGACCCCTCAGGTCAGCTGCAGGGCACCCTCCAGCCTCATGCCCCTGTTTCTGATGCATTCTCCTATGCACCCTACACAACAAAAGGCCCTCACAGCCAGTAAAAGAAACAGCGCCCACACCCCTCCCCTCCCCTGGAGCAAATTTGTAAGCCAATGAGCCCGCTGCTAGCCACCAAGATATGGTTCACCACGGTGGGACAGTCATGGAGTTTAGCTAATAGAACAAGGGCCCCAAGGCTTCCCATGAAGAATTGGAGAGAAAGAATGAAGAGCAGAGGACACAGTAGGACCACAACACAGTAGGACCACAACCTGACATCTGCCAGAGCCTGTAGGAAATCCCATCCCTACCATCTCATCACAGAGGGGTAAGAAACTAGGTCAGCCCAGCGTGAAACTTACCTTGGGAAAGGCCAACCACTGTCACGGCCAATGTCCCCGAGAGCCACCTAGTCCCTGGGGCCTGTCCTCTCCCCAGCTTTACTCACTAACAGATAGAGAAACTGAGTCTCTAAGAAGCCAGAAGACTTGCCCAGTCTCACAAGTCCACAGGCTACCTCTCACTCACAGGAGGTAACACACACAGCCCAGGCCTCTCTGTCAGACAGCACGGAAGTCGCAAAGCTCAATTTGCACTCCCCAGACACAGACGCTAGGTGGGAGTTGGGCTTTGAGGTATGACCCCAGCATCCTGGAGAGGGAAGTGGGAAGATCAAGGGTTCAAGGTCGTCTTTGGCTGTATAGTGAGTTTAGGGCCACCCTGGGCTACATAAGACCCCATCTCAAAAAAAAGAAAAAAATGTAGTTTAGCTGTATATACCTTTAATCCCAGAATTTAGGAGGCAGAGTCTTGTGGAACTCTGTGAGTTCAAGGCCAGCCTGGGGTACATAGAGAGACCCCCGTCTCAAAGGAAGGAAGGAAGGAAGGAAGGAAGGAAGGAAGGAAGGAAGAAAGGAAGGAAGGAAGGAAAAGAAACTGCATGGGGCCCATACTATCCCTCCCAGCCCCTCCAAGCAGCAGTATTGCCCGCTGGGGCGGCTCCCACCTCTCAGAGGCCACTGTTTGCAGTCTGGTGCTCCCGGACCTGTGAGGAGGTCACTGTCTGCTGCCCACAGAGCCCACACACTCTGCAACTGTCAACAGTCTTGTCTCTTGCCCAATCGCCCCTTTCCGCTCCCTGGCTGCCCGATCTCCTGTGTTCATCTAGGGAACTTCCCGTGGAAAGGGGCCCTGGCTGCATCTTTTAAGTCTTGACTGATGCCCTGGATCCTGGAATTGTAGCAGAAAGTTGGGACTGGGGAGGGGTTCTGAGGAAAGGCAGTGTGTGTGTGTGTGTGTGTGTGTGTGTGTGTGTGTGTGTGTGTGTGTATGTGCATGCAACGCACCACACTCAGCCTGTAATAACAAGGCCAGAGCATCCTCAGTCCAGTAGGAGGGTCAAGAGAAACCTCTGTGGCTACAACTGGTGCAGAAAATGCCACAGGAGGACAATACTACCTGTGATGGTTTGTATATGCTGGGCCCAGGGAGTGGCGCTATTAGAAAGTGTGGCTCTGTTGAAGTAGACGTGGCCTTGTTGGAGTGGGTGTGGCCTTGTTGGTGTAGGTGTGTCACTATAGGTGTGGGCTTTAAGACCCTCATCCTAGCTTCCTGGAAGCCAGTATTCTGCTAGCAGCCTTCAGATGAAGATGTAGAACTCTCAGCTCCTCCTGCACCATGCCTGCCTGGATGCTGCCATTTTCCCACCTTGATAATAATGGACTGAACCTCTGAACCTGTAAGTCAGCCCCAATTAAATGTTGTCCTTATAAGAGTTGCCTTGGTCATGGTGTCTGTTCACAGCAGTAAAACCCTAACTAAGATACCTCTCTCACCTCAGATCCTCACTCAAGGACAGCATATTTGACCAGGAGGGGAGGCTTGCAGCAAACTCCCTTCTTAGGAAACAGACTAAGCTAATATCAAAATATATTGCAGAACAACAATCATGAGAACAGCATGGCACCAGAGCATGAAGACAGATCAAGGATGCTATGGAGTGGGACAGGAATGAGCCAGGCGTGGTGCTGCACGGATGCTACCCTAACACTTGGAATCTTGAGTAACACAGGGGGATCTGAGTTCAGAGCCAGCCTGGGCTATGTGGTTAGGCTTTGTCTCAGAGAAAAGAAAGAAAGAGAGAAAGAAAGAAAGAAAGAAAGAAAGAAAGAAAGAAAGAAAGAAAGAAAGCCGGGCGGTGGTGGCACACGCCTTTAGTCCCGGCACTTAGGAGGCAGAGGCAGACAGATTTCTAAGTTCAAGGCCAGCCTGGTCTACAGAGTGAGTTCCAGGACAGCCAGGGCTACACAGAGAAATCGTCTCGAAAAACAAAAAAAAAAGAAAGAAAGAAAAAGAAAGAAAGAGGAAGTAGAAAATAGATAACAATACACTCAAGTATATGTTAAGAACTTCATGAATGATAAAGACACCATTTCATGTAAGTGAAGAGATTATGTATTGAATTAACCCTTAGGAGGATGGGTTAGGGCCACAAAAGCCAGAGCACTTAAATTCCATAATTATCCCAGGTAGATTTAAGTTTTAGACATTTTTTAAAAAATTATTACATTTATTGTGTGTGGGAGGGGGTGGCACAGGCCCTTAATACCAGCGCTTAATACCAGGCAGAGGCAGGTGGATCTCTGTGAGTTCGAGGCCAGCTTGGTCTACATAGTGAGTTCCATGGCAGGCAGGGCTACACAGAGAAACTCCTTGAAAAAACAAAAAGAAGCCGGGCAGTGGTGGTGCAAGCCTTTAATCCCAGCACTTGGGAGGCAGAGACAGGCGGATTTCTGAGTTCAAGGCCAGCCTGGTCTACAGAGTGAATTCCAGGACAGCCAGGGCTACACAGAGAAACCCTGTCTCGGAAAACCAAAAAAAAAAAAAAAAAAAAAAAAAAAAAAAGAAAGAAAGAAAGAAAGAAAGAAAGAAAGAAAGAAAGAAAAACCAAAAAGAGAAAAAAGATATATTACACTTACTATTTATTTTGTGCATGTAAATATTTGTGTGTAGGTGTGTGTATGTGTGTGGAGGGGTGGAGGATGTGGGAGGGAATGCATGTGCATGCTGCAGGCAGTTCATATGTGGAGGTCAAAGGGCAACTTGCAAGAGTCAGTTCTCTCCTTCTACAGTGTAGTTGGCCCCAGAGCCTTGGGGACATGCCACTGTGCGCATGTGCAAATCACGGTTTGGCTCATGGAGTCAGAGGACAACTCAAGGGAGCCTCTTTCCACCATTTGATAGAAGGTATCCTGCAAGCCAGGGAATGAGAATTAAAACTGAGAAATACTGGAGGCCCCAGGGAGTTTAGAGGTCTGGTCGGGTGTGGGTGGGGGGTGGAGACATCCTCATGGAGATGGGGGAGGCAGGCAGGGAGGAGGTATGAAATATGGAACAGTTGGAGGGTGGACCAGGAGGGGAATAAAATCAGGATTTTAAAATAAATAAATCAATGGAAAAAAAAAGAAAAAAAGAAAAGAAAAAAGAAAGAAAGAATGATAATAGCTAACAAAGCTTCCAGACTCACTTTCAGTTCCTCAGAGCTGTGTGATCTCCCGTCACAGTGTGGTAAACGCTGACACAGACACTCTTTGTTCTGAGGTGTGGTGGAGAGAACACCCTGGGTCCCCTCCTCCAGCTGCCAGTTCCAAAATATGTCTACCAGGAGCTTGGGTGGGCAGCAGGGCCACAGGAGATGGGGACCAGATAGCATCTGGGCAGCCGTTTCCTGAATATTGAGAAAGCCTGGGTTACGTCAAAGATTTCATCGTAACACGGTTGGTCCTCGAGTCCCTACTTAGAATCCTTACCACTTCCCTTTTCCGGCTTATCAAGTAGGCTGTGTGACCTGCAGGCCTCATGATGGTTCTTAGGACTCTGACACTCCCCTCGGGAGTGACCTTGAACCTGGTTTTGAGGGGAATTTTTTTTACATCTGTGAAATAGAGATAACCCTGAAAGTTGTTCAAATGGTACAAACCATCTAAGATAGCTAGGCAGGAGGATCAGAGTTTACGGCCAGCCTTGGCTACATAACCAATTGGACACCAGCTTAGGCTACCATAGTGAGACCCTGTCTCAAAAGACCAGAGGAGCTGGAGAGATGGCTCTGCAGTTGAGAGCACTTGTTCTTGCAGAGGACTGGGTTGAGTTCCCAGCACCCAGGTGGCAGTGCACGACCACCTGAAATACCAGTTCAAGGGGATCTGACGTCCTCTTCTGACCTCTGCCCACACCAAGCACATACATGTGCACAGGTATACATGCAGGCAAACACTCATACCCATAAAATAAAAAAGAAACAAAACCAAGTTACATTTAATATTTTTATATTTATTTTCTCCTAGTCAGGGTCTCTAGTACTGTGATAAACACCATGACCAAAACAACTTGGAGAAGAAAGGGTTTATTCAGCTTACATTTCCACAGAAAGAAGTCAGGACAGGAACTCAATCAGGTAGGAACCTGGAGGCAGGAGCTGATGCAGAGGCCTTGGAAGGTGCTGCTTACTGGCTTGCTTCCCACAGCTTTGCTCAGCCTGCTTTCTGGTAGAACCTGGGACCACCAGCCCAGGGGATTGCACCACCCACAATGAGCTGGGCCCTCCCGAAATCGATCACTAATTAAGGAAATGTTCTACAGCTGTGGTTTTCACCCTGTGGGTCACACACAGTCCCTTTGCGGGGTATGGAGCGAGTTTTTCATGGGGGTCATCTAAGACTATCAGAAAACACAGACATTTGCATTTTGATTCATAACAATAGCAAAATTACAGTTCCGAAGTAGCAACGGAAATAATTCTATGGTTGGGGGTCAGCACAACAGGAGGAACTGTGTTCAGGGGTCGCAGCACTTGGAAACACTGGTTTACAGGCTCACCCACAGCCTGATCTTATGGGGGTGTTTTTTCTTACTTGAGGTTGCCTCCTCTCAAATGACTTTCCTTTTTTTAGCTTGTATAAAACTCAGTGTGGTGTCCCAAGCCTTTAATCCCAGCACTTGGGGGACAGAGGCAGGTGGATCTCCGTGTTCAAGGCCAGCCTGGTCTACAGAGTGAGTTCCAGGAAAGCCAGGACTACACAGAGAAACTAGATCTTGAAAACGAAACAAGACAAACGGAAAACCTATCCAGTACATATTTATTGTGTGTATATGTATGAGCACATGCCTGTATACATACATACATGTAGAAGTTAGAGGACAGAATGTATAAATCAAACTGTCCTTCCACCCTGTGATTTCCAGGGAAGGAAATCAGGTAGCCCAGCCTATTAACAAACACCATCCAACTGGCTCAGAAAATGGTTTTAATTCTAAAGCTGGCTCGGGTGTCAGGGTCCTGAAACCCCAGGAAGGCTGAAGCACGGCTCCAAGTTCAAGCCTAGTTTAAGTAACACAGACTAAAAGAGACTAAACCTCATTATACACACGTGTAAGCTGTCGAGGACTAGAAAGCTACATTTTTTTTTTTCTAAAAATTAAATTGAAATCTTTCTGGGGCCAGTGAGAGACTGGAGGTTGGAGACTGGGAAAGGCCAGGCAGAGTACATACAGAAGTTTAAAACATAAATAATTTTTTATTAATAATTTGTTGTAATAAGACATACAGAGAGAAGGCTAAGGCAGAAGATGGGGAGGTGGCTTCCTGGACCACAAAGAGGGTGTAGTTCCTATGAGGACCGTGGGCTCAAAGGATAAAGATGCTTGCCGCCAATTCTGACCGAGTTGGAGACAGAACCCCTAGGAGAGATGCATGCTGTATAGCCCGTGTTTGTGTGAACTATTTCTGTTTAACTAAATTGAAGATAAAAACGTTTTTTGTTTTTTTAACAGAAAAAAAAAACCACACCCTACAAATTTCGTCTCAAAATGAAAACAAAGGACCAGGGCTACAACTCAGTGGTGGAGTTCTTGCCTAGCTTGCTCAAGGACTTAGGTTCAAGTCCCATCACTGGGAGAAAAATCATTGCATGTGTGTACACTTGTAGACACACACAGACACACACACCCCGGGGTGGGTGCAAACAGAGCAAACAGCCGGTTCCAAACACTCCCCTCCCCCATTTTATCTAATGACAAGACGTTACAAATCATCTCAAAATATTTATTGAGCACCAGCTTTGGGGTAGGGTGTGAAGACTTGGGACAATGCAGGGTGTGGTCCCTGCCTGTGGGAGGTTTACAATCTGAGTGGAGACAGAGAGGGAGCCAAAATATATGTTCTTGGGGCTGAGGGTAAACAGTCCAGATCAGGATGTTACAGAAACAGGGGTGTTTGGGGTTGGGGTTAGACCCACTAAGTGCTTCAACACCCACAGGGGCTCAGTATTCAACACTGGGAAAGGATCAGCCACTCCTCAGTGTCCTGTTAGCTCCCTTAGTCCCCCAGGCACCGCCTTGGCCTGGCTCCTTGTACAACTGCTCCTAAGAAATGGGAGAAGTCACTGAGGACCCCAGCTGGGGTCCGCATCCCAGATAAGTCCACCCCTCCCATCATACACCATACACACAGGATGCTCTAGGAGGCCTGTCTCACTACCAAGGACCCACCCTAGACCCACAAGGAAGATGGTTGCCACTGGAGCTGCCAGAGGTAGTACCAGGGAACCCCGCTTAGTGTACCCTGTGTACCCGCTCCCTTCCAGTCCAGTGAGCCGTGGGGCAAGTGCCGAGAGATCCTGCCGACCTGGGGGAGGGGAGGGAAGTGAGGAGGGTAGAGCAGCAGATCACCAGATTGACCCTCAAAACTAGAGGGGCAGCCGGGCGGTGGTGGCGCACGCCTTTAATCCCAGCACTTGGGAGGCAGAGGCAGGTGGATTTCTGAGTTCGAGGCCAGCCTGGTCTACAGAGTGAGTTCCAGGACAGCCAGGGCTACACAGAGAAACCCTGTCTCGAAAAACCAAAAAAAAAAAAAAAAAAAAAAAAAAAAACTAGAGGGGCAGCTGGCAGAGACCCACAGGGCAGGAGGGCTCCCCAGGAGTGGCAGAGGAAACCCAGAGTAGGGACCATGTCAAGGGTCAGGATATTACGGTTGGGTATCCTTGGTCTAGGCTGTGACTGCTTCACTGTCATCCTAGCTGGCCTTAGAGGTGAGAAGGAGACCCCGAAGTCCTACTCAGTTGTCCAAAGTGCTATTCAGGTCTGAGGATCACCCCCAGGGAAGAAGTGGCAAGGAACCAGGCAGGGAGTGGAGGGGGTATGTTAGGAGAGAGATGGATGCCGAAGGCATGAAGACAGTGCAACCTTCCCTCCAGGATAGGAAACACAGAGGTTGGGTTAAGAAGGGCTTAAATAATAGTCTACATAATAAAAATCCCCAGCACTAAGGGGGCCTAGCGTCCTACTAATTTAGGTTTGTTTGTTTGTTTGTTTGTTTGTTTAAATAACTCTTAAGTTTGGAGACTGGGAGAGGGCAGGCAGAGTATATACAGAAGAAGTTTAAATTAAACACAAATAATAATTAAGACACACAGAATAAGGGTTAAGGTAGAAGACGGGGAAGAGGCCTCCTGGCCCACAGCAGAAGAGGGCGAGGCTCCCGTGGGGCACTTCAGGGCTTTCTCTTGGAGAAGACCAATCTGCGCTTGGAGTGGTAGAAATCTGTGGAGAGAGAACAGATGTCAGGCCAGATGCAGAGGGTAAGGACATCGTTCCCCAGAGTCAAAGGGACACGTGGCTAGTCGTGGGGAAAAGCCACACCCCCTCCTCAGAGGGCTAGGGCTCTAGAGAGGTTAGATTCCCTTCACACTTGGAGTTAGTTATAGAAAGTTGTTAGTTCCGGTGCTGGGAATCGAACTCAGGCCCTCTACAAGAGCAGTAAGTGATCCCATCCTCTGAGCCATCTCTCCTGCCCTTCGCCTTTCTTATTTATTTATTGAGTTGACAGTACAGGAGGTAGCGTGGACGTGCTGGCCCGGCTCTTCCCTAATTGGTTCCAGGCTAAATGCTATACTGCCAAACCCCACACTATCCTGGGCCTTCCCGGTCAGTATAGAGAAAAATGCCTGGTTCATGTGCTAGTCAGCTGTTCCTCTCAGCCCCAGGTCCCCCACCTACGGAATGGCTTGGTGCTGGGGAAGGGCTGGAAAGTTCTTGGCATAGGCGATCCTTAGCAGGTGGCCCTTCCATCTCCAGACGTCCTGCATAATCTTTCCTTCCTCAATCCTGTCCTTACCTGTCAGGCTGGTCTGCCTCCGTTTCCGGCCCTGGGATGTTCCGGGCCCTCCCGGGGAGTCTTCAGGCCGCTCAGGGGCGTGAGACACCAGAGTGCAAGACAGGGACAAGGCCACGTGGTCCTCCGGAGCTGGCCCCTGCAGTAGGGCAGAGGAGGTGCTGGGCCTCTTGTCCCCTCCCAGGTCATCACGGCCGCGGGACCCAGGGCTCTGGTAGATCTTGGGCAGCCCTAGGCTCCGAACAGGCTCCCAGACGAAGTTGCCCTCCAGCGGCGTCTCAGTGACGAAGTCAAAGTTCCACCGTTCTCGGGCCTCCTGGAGACAGCCCGCCATGAGCGCATCGCAATCACGGCGCAACTGTTCACTGTCCACGGGACCGAAGAGACGCCGGCACACTTTACTCCTGTGTGGAACAGGTCGGACATCATCATAGTCGGACATGGTTGGTACCTGTGGCTGAAACACAAGAAGGATCCAGGTCACTATGGAAACTACCCCATCAGTCGCAATCTCCCAGCTCCCTCTGTTCCTCCCAGGTGCTTTTCCACCACACCATGAGACTAAGATGGGTGTTGAGTTCAACAGGCCCTGCACCCCCAAGGTCACGGCTGTTGTCCACAGAAGCCAGTACATTGCAGAAGCAGGGGTCACCGTCCTGTTTACACCAGGAATACTATCAGCTAAAATCAATGTCTTGTGCTAAAGTGTCCTTTGTGAGTGTGAACATCCCAAATGTGTGTGAATTGCCAAGGTCCGGTGGTTTCCCAACAGTCCTCTATCCTGTTGTCTTGGTGATAACGCCTTCCTGCCAATCAAAAGGGACCTGGACTTCGGGATAAGACACGTAATAGCAGCATTGGTGCTGCTATTTGGCACCAGTTTTAAAACGTGACTTCATGTCTCCGGCCTCAGTTTAAGTCTTAGCCAGGGCAGCTGTGGTAGCATGTTCGGGCAGCTGGTGTGTCACCTGGGAGAGAGACAGGAACACCGGAGCCAGGCTGCCCAGATCAGAATCAAGGTTTTGCTGGGCGACCCAGAATATGTACCTTAACATCTCTGGGCTCCCTATCTGAGGAGGAATTAGCATAGGCGACCCTGGGAAATGGAAGCCGTAAGCAAACCTCTCCGCCCCCAGTTCTGACAGACCCTCCTCCCTCCAGACTGCCACTGACAGGTGCTACACAGGCTGGAGGCCTTCCCTACGGATGCCAGCAGGCAGTAGCCTGGGGGAGAGGAGAGTCTTGAAGGGGTGGAGCACAGCCATGGCTCTCTCCCAAGCTGAGCCACATCCTGCCAGGCAGATCAGGTAATCTGGGGTCTAGACACCTCCCAGTCCCAGACGTGCCTACAGCCTATGCCCAAGGAACCCGTTTTACAGGCACAGAAGAAAAAAAAAAATCAAAGGTACTGGTTGACCTGGCTCCTCTCCAGGAAAGAGGGATACCTGAGTGGCCGATCCTGTCTGCTCTGGCCTCACTCCAAGACTAGGGGATGCAGCTCCTAAGGAGGGACTGGGCTCTCTCCAGCACGAGTCCAGCCTTCCAGCCTTTGAGCTTGCAAGGTGTGTCCAGTGGCTTCCTGAGGCAAGATGCCCTGGGCTCTTACCACAATACACCCCCAGCTCCTTAAGACCTCGGGGTGAGTTTGCCCACAGCTGGGAGGTAGGGGGTCGAAGGCGGTACCCAGACTACAATTCAAGGTAGGAAGAGGCTGGGGCTCAGATGGTAAACCCCGGGCCTAGCAAACAAGGCGCTCTCTATAAAACTGGGTCTGGCTGGGCGGTGGTGGCGCACGCCTTTAGTCCCAGCACTTGGGAGGCAGAGGCAGGCGGATTTCTGAGTTTGAGAGTTCGAGGCTAGCCTGGTCTACAGAGTGAGTTCCAGGACAGCCAGGGCTACACAGAGAAACCCTGTCTCAAAAAAAAAAAAAAAAAAACTGGGTGTGGCAGTACACACCTGTAATCGGAGCAATCTGGAGACAGAGGCAGGGAAAGAAGTTCAGGGTCTACCTTGGCTACTATATAGGCCATGTGGCCAGCATTGTGGCTTCAATAAATAAGTAAAACAGCCCATCCCCCAAACATAGCACTCAGGAGGCAGAGGCAAAAGGTCTGTGAATTCAAGGCCAGCCTGGTCTGCATAGTGAGAGCCAGGCTAAAAACCAACCAAACAAAACCCAGGATGAACACGGATGTCCATTGCCTGCAAAAGGATTCTCATGGTGCTGTGGACAGAACCTCAGATGGCTTCTGCCTACAGACAGAGTTTGGGGTCTAGTCACATCCTTTAGTGCAACTCACGGTCATCCTCCTGCCTCAGCCCCCAGTGCGCTGGGATTGCAGTTGTGAGCCACCCAAAGCTATTGTTAATCAATAGCACATCCGTTTTAGGCAGAGCTAACCAAGGCTCAGAATGTGCGTCCAAAAGGCACAGGGCTCACAAGTGGGGGGTTTGAATTCAGACCCTTTTGCTCTAGTTTTGAACCATTCTCTCTTCTTCTCATCTTGAGGGGCATGGCCAGAGGAATCACTTGGAAAAGGTTTTGGTTTTTTGTGTTATTTTTAAAATATAGATTGAGCTCCTTGTTATGGGGAGAGCCTTTCACCCAGCACTCCAGTCAGAGGTAGGTGATCCCTATAAGTTCCAGGCCATCGGGCCAGCCTGTCTATATAGTACTGGCTAGCTGGGGCCATATAGTAAAACCTTGTCTGTGTGTGTGTGTGTATGTGTTTCTCTCTCTGTCTCTCCCTGGCTCTGTCTCTGTCTCTCTGTCTCTCTCTCACACACACAGAGAGAGGTGGCAGAGATCTGTATAGATACGGAAATACAGATTGGTGGAGGAAACAGGGCTCATTGGCTCATTTACCCAGACAAACTGAGTCGAAGAACAAGTTCGGTGTCCTTCCCCAGACGGTAATTCACAGAGGCCAGAGGAAGAAAGACAGGACACCAATGCCCTCAATGTTCCAATGCACCTTAGGCACGAGGGAGAGCTCAGCTAATGCTCTGTTGGGAAGAGGAGCTTTTCGGAGCTGAAGATAGGACCAGGAACCCTAAAGGGGCCCGGCTCCCTAACCTTGTCCTCAAGGGCCACGCCTCCCAATAAATAGTTCGCTCGCACACCCTGCTCAAAACCACTCCTATCATAAGCCCTCATTTTACAGAAGCGATGTCTTCCTTCTCTGGCCATCGTGCATATTTTAATCCCCTGTAAGCCTCGGTGTGTGTGTGGAGGGCAGGGAGTGTGGCAACAGCCGGTGGCACCACCCGCGCATAGCCGGCCTTGCAGTTCTCGCTGCGGCCGGCAGGGGGTGCTGTGCGCCCAAGAAATGGCGCGCGGTAGGCGGCGCGTAGGCCAACAAGGAGTGGTGAGTCAGTTTCCTGCCCGGCGCTGCCCGCCCGCCAAAACTGCTTGGGCACCGGAGCTGCGCGTCACCCTGGGGTGGGGAGAGGAGAGGAAAGGAGGGGGACCCCGGGCCACAAAACACGTCACGATGAGCCCAGGCTTCCTAAATTCCCGCCTATGATGGGAAACCAGACTGCGCGCGCGCGCACTCACACACACACACACACACACACACACACACATATATACACGCACGCACACTCGAGAGCAAAGAAAGTGCTCTTAGCGCGCTGGCCCCCTCCACCTTGATCTCCACTCCCAAAGCACGCGATGAGTCAGATCCCTGGAAAATAAAAATAGATGAGGGCGAGGACAACAACAAAAAAAAACCGCTCGAGTGTCCTCTCTGAAAGGAGACGTAGGGGAGGGGACAGAAGAAGTTGCCAGCGCGCCCCCAAATGCTAAACCCAAGCCCAAAGTCTTTCCCGCAGGACCAGGGTGCAAGTGTAGCCCTTGTCCCCAGGGGTTCCAAAAGGAATGGATGTGCCCTAGTGGGCGCACTTAGCCCAGCCCAGCCCGGTCACCTTCCTATACTGTGTGCGTACTGGGTCAGGGAGCCCCCGCCCCGAGGCGTCTGATGTACGGCACCCCGTAAGCCTCACTCACGGGGATACCGGCCGCTGTACAGTGCGGGCTCCTCTCGCGCCCCACGGCCACTGATCCCGGTCGTGGTGGGCGCGGTGGGTGGGACCCTTTGCGCTTCCCGGGCTGGCAGAGTGAACAGGGTCCGCCCAGACTCTCTGTCCCCGAGGGCGCGCCGCCGAGCGGGGACCGGACACCGCGTCCTGGACCTCCCCGTGTCCCGGGTTCCCTGGGAACATACTGTGCCCGCCAAATAGGTCACTGTGCCGCGCGGGGGAGGGGACAGGGCAGGAACAAGGCTGTGCCCGGGCAGGAAAAGGGGCTTCTGGGCTGCCACTGATCCATCCCCAGCTGGGGCGCAATTCTGATCTCAATCCAGTGCCCGGGGTCTCCTTGTCACAATGAGTCAGCTCCTCGCCTGTCCTCCAGAACGTGCCCAGGCACGATCCCGAGGGCGGAGGACACAGTTCGCGCTGACCTCAGAGCCCAGCGGGGTGGTGGCTACGGTGAAACAGGGCACCTGGTCCACAAGAGCCGGAGACCCGGCGGCGGCACCCATGGGATCGGAGAATCGCTCTGCGCTGGGTTCTAGATAGACTTGCCCGAAGCTTGTCACCGCCACCCCCTGACCCCTCTCGGGACACCGTGGGCTTCATGCTCACGCCTTTGGCGAGCCGCACCTGGAATCCCTAGAAGCACTAGCAAACAGAAGCGAGCTCCGGGTAGCCGATCCCCGCCAGCCATCGCTCGGGCCGGGTCTCCAAGGACTGGGACAGTGACTGCCACCCGTGGTCCTAGAGTTCAGACTCTGTATACCGAGTCCGCGACATAGCCTGACCCTCGCCACACTCCAATGTAACCAAGCCTTCGGCCACCAGGGACCCGCTCCGACCCACACCCGTCATCCACCTGCCGCGGACACACCTGTGACTCTGGCGGGCACACACAAATACACACACATACACACGCCGGTGGTATATCCATCGCCGCAGACACACACACACACACACACACACACACACGCGCACACACACACGCACACACACACACGCTTCTGGGGACGCCCGCTGGGCTCAGCGCAGAGCTGCGGAGAGGAGTCACTGTTCTCTGCCACGACGCTCTCACCTCTGAATGTCTCGATATCGCTGTGGATCTGCGCCTGGCTCCAGTTCCCCTTGACTGCGACAAGGCAGCGGCTCACACCTCTCGGCTGGTGCAACTGGCTTCGAGCAGCCCTCTTATAAGCATCGGCCCCGCCCCCCGCCCGCCTGGAAGGCTGGACCAGCCACTGCTTCACCCATCCCCGAGACTCGCTGGCCCGCCCTCCCCTCTGGGAATCTAAACTCGCGCCAGACGGCTAGAACCGGGCGGGCGCGCGGCGAGAGGGCGCGCCCTCCCCTCCCCTCCCCCATACCTGGGCTGTTTGCTTGACACACAGCCCACCAGCAGAGCCGCGGACATCTATGAACACTACAGTTAGGGCTGACCGTTTACAAGTCTGCCCCTGGCCAACTCTGGGAAGGATTAAATCTTTTCCAGGTCACTGACGTTAGCAAATAAAAACCTGGGGTCGGGGAGTTGGGGTTTGTGGGTACAGCGTTTGCCTAGCTTGCTGGAGGAAATGAAGCCCTCAGTTGGATCTCCAGGTCCCATAAGCTGGTTCACGTCTGTAATAACATTGAGCGGTGGGGGGTTGGGGGAGGAGAGAATTAAGACTTTAAGGTCGTTTTGACAGCTACCTACCCAGATAGAGACCAACTTGAAGTATGTGACACTCTCTTTCAAATATAAATAAGTAAATCATTTGAGTATGATAGCAAAGACCTGGAATCCTACACTTGGGAGATCGAGGCATGAGGGGCGTCACCGGTTCAAGACCAGCCTGGGTTTTCCAATGAGACCCTTTCAAAAAAACAAAACAAACCCATCAATAATAAAAATAGTTTGAAATCCCATGAAATCCCACTATTTCTGGAGAATTTTTCCCTCAATCGGCCCTCTTCCCCAGAAGCCCCTCAGTTGCCCAGACACCCCAACAGCTCATCTTTGGGTCCAGAACACCATCTTGTCTTCATTGTCTCACAGATGAGGAAAGCAGTCCCACAGAAATAAAGGATGCCGTCAACTGTCTCAGAAAGGGAGGAGATTTAGTCCAGTTCTCAGAAACAAGACTACCAGGAAAACCAGCCTGGTCTCCCTCCCTCTCACCTCTGCAGAAGCCAGCATATGGACAGTTCTCACACCACAACACATTCTGCAAGTGAGAAACAAAGGCTCAGAGAGGCTCAAGACCTGACTCGGACCACACAGCCAAGAAATGGCTACTGCTTGTGCTCTGGCGGGCTGCCAGGAGCACTTACAGACTTCTTTCTCTGGGTCCAAAAATGAGGGAAATGTCTAATACCCCCCAGTTCTAGACAATTCACTAAGATGGTATTGATAAAGGACAATTCTAGAAATATCTACAGCTGCTCCTGACAGACAGAAGACATCCTCAGTTCCCACCTTCCTCCGTGTCTCTAATCAGTTCTATTTCCCTCTGCTTGGGGTTTTTTGAGACAAGGTCTTGGTATGTAGCCCAAGGCAGCCTCATATTCAAGGCAATCCTTCCTTGCTTAGAGTTAAGACTAGATCTGAGCCATCATACCCAGCAAAAGGGAGTTTTCTTCAGACAGTCTTGTTATGTGGTCCAGCCTGGTCACACAGTCTACATAGCAAAACCACCATCTTAGTTAAGCATAGTGGTACATGCCTGTAATCCCGGTACTTGGTGGGCAGGGGGGATTGGAGCTCAAGGCCAGCCTGAGCTACCTGAGATCACCATCCATCAGATAGATCTGGGGATGTAGCTCAGTATAGCCCTTACCTAACTTTTATGAAGCCCTGAGTTCGATCCCCAGTAAGGCATCATCTGGATGGTGGTGGCATACATCTGTAATCCCAGAACTCAGGATAGATGCAAGAGGATCAATAATTCATCAGCTTCGTAGCAAATCTGAGGCTGGCCTAGGTGACATGAGACCCTGCCTCAGAAACAAAAACAAACCCCTCTCTCAAAACAAACACAAACAAAAAAAATTTAAATACTGAGACTGGAGCCTTCATTTGAACAGATATCTTTAGTTAAAAGAATAGAATCCTGCTTTGGAGTAGCTGTAAGTTCTGACATCTGCTTTCCGATGTCTAGAGATCGCTGCCCAGACATGCCCAGTCTTCCTCCTCTGACTTAGCTGACCTAGGGAAGACAGGCCTCCTCTTCTGTGGTGGGGGATGGAAGTCTGGGAAGGGCTTTGGCCACCCTCCCAACCCCCCTCGACAGCCTCATTCCGTTCAGAAACACAGTTGGAGGACCCCTTCAAGTTAGCATTCTGTCTCAACTCCACCCCTACAGTTACCTGGCAACAGCCAGGTCTACTCCTCCCCACGGTTACCTGGCAACAGCCAGGTAGGCCTGGCCCACTATAAAAGGGGCTGCTTGCCCCCTCCTCTCTCTCTTGCTCTCTCTTGATCTCTCTCTTGCCTTCTTGCTTCCCCTCTGTCCCCGAGGCCACTCTCCCCTTCCCTTCCCCCTCTCTCCACTTACTCATGGCTAGCCTCTACTTCTCTATTCTCTCTCTCTCTCTCTCTCTCTCTCTCTCTCTCTCTGCCTCTACTGCCCTCTTGACTCCCCTCCCCATACCCTAAATAAACTCTATTCTATACTATTCTGCTGTGTGGCTGGTCACTCAGGGGGAAGGGATCCCCTGCCTTGACATGGGCCCCGCTGAGACATCCCCTTCCCCCACACCTCCCCACACCCCCAAAGAACATACTTTCTCTTTATCTTTTTATAAACACATCACTTCAGACCTCAAAACCAGGACAGACAATGCCCCAGCTGAACCATCCAAGTCACCTCACCAGACTGCACTGTCACAGGCCAGCACAGGATGTCCAACCGCCCAAATCCCCTTGGCCTCCAGGCTTTTCAGATAGAAGTGACATTGTCTGTCTGTTTACTTTGGGAGAAAACAGTTTTAATAAAGGCTTATACTGAATTGCTGAGTGCTGTGACCTCCCGTGCCTTTACCCTGTTGACGCTGGAGAGATTTTTAAAATAACTCCTGGCTTCCCGGAGCACCACAAAAGTACTCAACAAATATTTATTAAGCCTAGGACTTCTCAGTCTTTCTAACAAACAGTCTTGGCCTTGCACTTGAATGTATAGTCAGGCACACAGTTAGAGGAGCCCTCCAGACCCCAAAATGACAAAGGGGGAAAGTTATACATACAGTACCTGACCCACCCCAGGCACAAGCACACACACACATACACACACACACACACACGCAGAAAAGCATCCTTCACCTGGTACATGTCACAAGATATATGCCATCTTATATTCTGCTGGCAGCAACTTGGGCTTGCAAAATGGGGCATCCTTGGTTATCTGGGGTCTCTGTCTCCGTTCACGCCCCTCCTTACCCCACAGCTGGTAGTTGGGTATCATCAGGTCTCCACCACCCTGTGTGACACAGTCCCTCCTCCCGGCATGAAGCGGCCCCACCTCTTCAGTTCCAGGGCTGAACATGTCAAGACATGTTCCTGAAGGCCAGAAAGCTAGTCCCGACCCACCCACGACAGCTCCGATTTTGCTGCTGGTCTCAGAGAGGTGACAGCCAGGGATGGAAGGCCAGATGCAGCCTTGCAGGTACCTTCTGGGGCTGATAGAAAGGAAAACCAAGGAACCAAGGGAGATATAAGGAAGGCTCCATGTTAGCGGCTGGAGCTACCCAGGAAGGGAGAGGAAGTGTGGGTGCCAAAACTATCATTTCCCAGAAAGGGACTGGGGAGTCCCAAGCAGGGCCTGGCAGATTTCAGAAGAAGTCACCTCCACACAAACTCCCAAGAAGTGCGACCACGGAACAAAGACAGAACAGAAAATAGCCTAAGCAAGAGGGACAGGATAGAGCTTTTCAGATCCCTGAGAAATCAGAACTGACACTTCTAAAACTTCTCCAGCCTCAGCTCCATCACGAGAAATGTATTCCTTTGAGGCTAACCTGGTAAAGTTGTTTGCCTTGCAAGTATAGAACCCGGGTTGAAATCCCAGTACCTACAGGAAAGAGCCAGGTTTGGCGCATGCTCTTGTAATACACACACACACACGCACGCACACCACACACATACGCACAGACTCACAAATATATGCACACACATTCACACGTGCACGCACACACCACACATGCGCCCACATGTGCGCGTACAGAGACACACAGACTCACATAAACATACATACACATTCACACATGCTCGCACACACAATTGCACATGTGCACGCGCACACACACATGCAGACTCACACAGTCACCCAAACATTCACAGGCACGCATACACACATGCACAAACACACACTGGAAGCAGGAGACTTGAAGGGACTCCCTGGCCAGCCCACCTACCCTGGTCAGTGAGCTTCAGGCGCTAGCAGACCCTCAAAAAACAAGGTGGTGGCCAGGCTGGCCGGCGAGACGGCTCAGTGAATGCCATATTTAGGGTTTCTGTTGCTGGGAGAAAACAGTGACCAAAAGCATCTCGGAAAGGAAAGGGTTAATTTCACCTTACACTTCCAGGGTCACAGACCACCACTGAGGAAAGCCAGGGCAGGAAAGGCAGGGATTTTAGAGTAACCTTGATTACTGGCTTGCTTTTCATGGGTCCCTCAGTTTGCTTTTCGTAGAGGACTCAGGGTCGCTTGGCTAGGGGTGATAGTGACCTAGGCCCGAATCATTAACCAAGGAAAGGTCCCACAGACTTGCCTTCAGGCCACCCAGATGGTGACCATTCCTCAACTGAGGCTCCCTGGTCCCAGGTGGCTCAAGTTTGGGTTACTTCTCCATTGTTTATCCCAAATAAATTACGGGACGCTCTGCTCCACGGGGTCTCTCAGGGGTCCAGGCTGACGGACAGCAGCTCTACGGTAGCATAGTGACACCATCAGACTGTGAATCCTTGCTTTTGTGCTTTTGCGCTAACTGTAGAGAAGGCCGGTTTCATTGGTTGGAGTCAGTCATGTGATCTTGTCTAACCTCCACGGAGAGGGAGCTGGGAACTGTCAGTGAGCCCCTGAAAGTGAGAGGCCATTGCTGTCTAGGCCGTGTGTGATGATACAACGATCGATTGATTAATTGAAGATCGATCGGTTGAGTTTTGTTTTTTTAAACATAT